CTTGATAGACTGAATTCTGCTGCATTCTCTTTCATTGCTTCTCCAGACAGGCCATACTGCTTCCGGAGTCGTCATTAAATGTGGATTTAACAGTCAACACATTGCCTGTGTTGTTTTAGAGATACAGATAAGGAGATTTATAGAACTTAGAGGGAGGAAAGGCGTGAAGCCTTTGATTTCTCAGAATACTTTGCTCTGGGAAGTGTGAGTCAGCAGGTTTGTGGTGAATCCTGGTGAGAGTCTGCACTGTGTTATGAAGCGACACATGAAGAAGGACACACTGGTTAGACTCAGTACGTCATGAGCTGGAATACGCCTCACCCAGGAAACCCAGCGCCAGGAGCTGGTGTGGCTTAACCGGTGTGGAAGACGTAGAGTGTCATGTAGTTAGCTAGCTACTTACATTATTGAACATATTTGAAAGACATCCACATAAAACACTTTTAAAAATAGGTGCAGCTTCAGCTTTTTATGCAAATGTAGGAAAATTTGATCTAATAACATGGCATTTTTCTGTTTGAAATATACTAATACAAAGAAGGCTACTTTAAAAAACCCTAAGAATATTCATCTGGCAGTGCGAAATTAGCAGTTAATATTATCTGAGGGAAGAATTCACCTCTGACGTTGGAAACAGCGTGCTGAGTAAGATGTTATTTATATGATACCTCCAGGATGAACAATCCATGGAGATGCAGTGGATTCCTCATGGCCTTAGGCTAGCATTCATGGGGGTTGACGAGTGGTGGCTAACACACAGGCTGGTTTGGAATGATGGTGGTTGCACAATATTATGAATATATTGGCTTGATTGTTGTGAAGTGTGCATTAGATCTTTAAAATTTTCAAAAATCATTTATTCTTAATAAACCATGAGTGGAATGTAAGCTTGTGAAGAGAAGAAAGCTAAATGCAACAGATATTTCTTATCTAGCACTTGTAGTTGGCTGGAACTCTAGCTGCATTTTCATTAACTTATACAATGAATAAAAGTGGACTCATTATCTTCGTAATTTTAGCTCTTATATAATCTAGCTAAAACAGACTCAATCTTTGAATCATACTGAATTTTTTTGAAATAGTGAAAAGAGGCTATTTTATATTAGATGAAGTGATTTATGATTGTCTATGGCACAAAGAACATTCAAAATAAAGCAATTAGATTTGCAAGAATTTAGTAAGTGGCTTGATTAATAAAGGATTGTTAAAAAAGTCATAAGATTTCCTATGTATATCATCAAGCACACACAAAATGAAAAATAAAGCTCATTCACAGTGGGCCTAAATTATAGTGAAGAGTCAAATTCATAGGATGTATTTTGAGATAATGGTGAGAATCTCAGAGATAGATACTTTGATTGTAGGAAATAGAATGAAAGTAATTGCTAAAGAAGAAACAAAAATTATGTAGACAGAAAATGTTGAAACACTAAATTAAAATGTAAATCGTGATGAGATAGCACTGGCTATTATTCAGAAGTCTAATGATATTCAGAGTTGAACCAAGCGTAAGAAATGTGCTTTCTCATTTATAGACTGATGAATGAGATCTAAATTTCAATCTTCCTGAACAACATTTTGACAGTAGCTATTAAAAGCCTTAAATTGGCATAAATGTTGACCCAATCCTCACTGTTTTCAGAATATATGCTAAGGAAATAGTTGTGTAAGTACTCAGAAATGCATATTTGAGATTGTTTTCACAGCAGTTCTTTTTGTAATGGCGTAAAGCTTTAAACAGCAGTCAGTAATTTCAGCAAGTTATGGTTGCAGGACCTTGTTTTCGGAGATAGCTGTAAGAGTTTACCCAGTCTCACATGCTTCCCTAACTTGTCACTCTCCTGGTTGGCGTTGGGGTTTGTATTCCCTTCCCTGGATCCGAGGCAGAGCGCCGTGTCTACCTCAGTGACTGCCAGAGAAATAGAAGTGACAGAGCCGCTCTCAAAACTGGATCAGAAAGGCGCTGTGACTCCCAGGAGGCCCTCTCCCTCCGGGACATTCTTCTTTATAACCCAGCTGCACTCCAGGCAGGCTGGGCTGTGTGGCTCGGTCATGTACGGACATGCCAGTAGATCCCAGCGAGGCTCCTGCCAGCAGTCTGCGGCCCCTGCGCCCAGCTGGTGACGGCCCCCAGCCACCGCACCGCCACAGCTGATTACATGTAGGGCTGAGCAAGCTGTTAATTTCTGCCATCCCGCACATGTGCAGCAAAATAAATGTCAGTGTGTTAGAGACGGCCTTTTGAAATGGTGCGCTACACAGTTACAAGGAACATGGGGGATTTTGGAGTAAATACAGGTGAAATTAGGAATGAATAAGTGTGTTTACAGGCAAGCCTTCGGTGCCATGGTCAAGATGTAGGTTGGGATGCCAGCATTTTGTGTTTCAGCGGTGGGACACTTCACCAGGTCCTCAGGCTCCATTCTGGCTTCCTGCTAGCTTGCTCCCTGGGAGGCAGAGGTGACAGCTGAAATGCTTGAGTCAGTGTCACTCTGCAGGGTCCCAAATTGATATTCTAGTTGCTGCCTTTGGCCAGGCCCAGCACTAGATGCTCTGGGTATTGGAGGGATGCACCTGCGCGGATGGATCTGCCTGCTCTGCTTGTCTGTCTTTTAGATAAATAACAGAAAGTTAGTAAGTACTGTGTGTTTGGATGTGCATGCATGTCTGTGTACACACACGTATGTGCACATGCCTATGGAGTCAGTTTAAAGAGAATAGTTTTACCATTTGAGTCAAAATCATTGCAACTGGAAGAGATTATGGCGAATTAAATAAGATGTATACAGAAAGACAATGCACGTTCTCCCTTATATTTTGTAGTCAATTTTTATTAATTAAAAAAATCAACAAAATAAATCTGAGTATGTGTAAGGTTTGCTATTGCAAATACAGCTTTGTCAAACTTTGCTTTAAATTTTTGTCAGACATATTGTTTATTATCACTACTATAGTTTTCATTTTTTTAACTATTTAAAAGTTAACTTTAAATGAGTGAAGCTAAACATGTTTTAATTTGATTATTGTTTATAATCCTGTCCTATTTTCCTTTTGAATTATTGTCTTTCTATGTTAAGAGATAAAAATAAATTAAAATTTTAGAATATATATTTTATAACATTAAAAATACTTAGAGTATATGTGAAAGTATAGAATAACATTTTATGTATCTATACAAAAATGTACGTGAATATGCCAATGAATTTGCATGTGTAGAAAAGTACTGATATTTTCATAATATATAAGATAGTTATCTTTAAATATTTGGAATAAGGGACAGTTTATATTGAATATTTCTTCTGTGTCATGTTGTTCATCTTTCTGCATTTTCCAGTTGTTCTACAAGTGGGTGTTGATCAAGTAATTGAAGAAGATAAATGAAATTTAAATTAAATACCAGTTGATGAAAGATGAAATACAGAAGAAGCGGACACAGAGATTGTTCATGAAAAAGGCAGGTGTTTTAGTTGAATGCCAGTTCCAGCTCAGCCAGCAGTGGGCTGTCACTGCTGAAGTGCCAAGGCAGACTTACATAGGCATTACAAATGGTAGAGCCCGGATGACAGGAGGCAGCAGCCCTGCTTTTACACTGAATATACCACACTTCTAGCACCGACGGTGACGAAAGAGCACCTGGGTTTCTTCAGGGAGCCCGAACAGGTGGGGTTTTCAATGGAGCTGCTGAAGGATGGTAGTAGCAATAAGGTTTATTCTCATTGGAAACGAAGGTCACTGGCAGAAAGAGGGGAACAGTAGCAAGACTTCATTCGGGTGATTTCAGAGAGCAAGAGTTAGAACCGATGCCCTTATGAGATCCTGGAGCATTCAAGGTGAGGACTCTAGCTGCTAGGCTATTGCACTGGGCCCTCCTCTGAAATATTTCTGGATCAATCATCACACATCAGGACTTGCACAAAACCTTGGCGATGGAAGTCTGAAGAGTAAGGCGGGATTTTCTGCTTTCAAATGCTTATAAGATTGTCAAAGAAAAATGAATGAATTTAATTCAGCGCCTGTTAAGAACAATGAAACAAATAGAAAAAACAGAGCGTACATCAGAAATTTTGCATATCAAAAGCATTTAGATTTTTAAACTTGTGTGTTCACAAGTCCTGAGTAAGTGTTTGTAACCATACCTGAAAGCTGGGGGGAGAGAGAGAAGGAGGGAGGGAGAGAAAATGAGGATTGGTGACTGAGTTTTACTGTCTGTGTCCATTTATGAATCCATAAATAGGTCCAACCTGTGGTTATTTGATATTTGGCGGATTTTTCTATCAAATTCTTTCTTTGAGAAATCCTTGTTGGATTACAGATGTGTCCACGTTTTCAGTAATTATCCCCATATACATCACTTTCTGAAGGGATCCTTCCACTTTCGATTTGCCTTGAACATTCCGGGCTGAAGTTTAGCGTCCACCAGGCCTGTGCAATTAACAGGTTAACGGCGGGCAGCGCAGCCTCGTGGAAGCCGCATTTTAGGCCTCCCATTCACAGATCCTTGCATAAAACAGCATATGTAACCGCAGAAGCTGCTACTATGAGTGATACTATTTTTTTGTCTTAAACAGTTGTCATCTGTGTAAGATTGAATTACTTCTCACAGTCCTCTTCACTTTAAGTTTCCACAGGCATGTTGGCCGTGGGCATCCAGGAGCTGTCAGCTAATTGCGATCATTGCGGAGCACATATGACAGATCTGCTTGTCAGCTGCTGGACAGCACCCGGCTGCTCTTGCTGCGCCTGGAGAAGGCAGACAAACATTAACTAACCTATCATACTTGTGCTGCAATAGCAAGCTCTTGTTATAATTAAATCCTTAGAGCATTCCCTTTGATGTATGAAAAGGAAAACATTTGGGCAACTGTAAATGCATGTGTTTTTATTTTTAGAGTTGAAACTACAGCTTGTCTACTTAATTGGTTTGGCAACGAAAAAACTGTGAGGTGGAAAACAAAATGAATCTGTGGTTTCTTTCATATGTATCCTGAGTTTCAAAATACAAGCTTTGATCCTTTTTGAGACTGAGAACACACATACACAGAAGCTGGTATTTGGCAAATTATGGTGAATTGTAATTACTGCTGTGACTCTTAGCGTGAAGTTAGAGGAAAAGGATACTTTGATAAACAGGAGGCAAGATTTTTTTTTAAAAAGCAACCTGTAATTCTATTATTAAATAAAAAGGGGGAAAATCATTGCTATGAATAAAGGAAAGCTAATGATGGCAATTTATTCTCAGAACAGGAGTTTCAAAACATCCTCTGGGTTCGATTGAAGAAACTTAAGATGGACGCAAGTGGAGGCCAAGCTCGTCACTTACTCAGTACTGCTTCCGTTAGCACCTGATGCTGAGTTTTGAACCTGTCTAGCACTCTTTGTGATACAGAGCACAGAAGCTTTGTTCTCTACCTGGCCTTCCATCCCTTCTACCACCAGCGGCTGGTTTTCTGATGGACCTGAGTTTGCCTTCTGAAGTCCAGATGCTGATTCCGCTTATTATTTGTGTCACCTTGTGGAGGTTATTTAAAAATTCTTGCTCAACTTCTTCATCTGAAAGTATAAATATAATTAGAACTACACAATACCAAGTAGAATATTTTCTGTCAACCATCCATCTATTTGCATCGGTCATCTCACTGATCTGCCCCATGGTAACATAGTAAGTATTCACTATTGTTATTTTCCCTATGGGAAATTTACAATGACATGTGATTTCCTCTCATGTTTCATGCAGAAACTCTCATGTCTGGTTTACAACAAGTCAGCACTAGATGTAAATATTGCTCATGTTGGTGGCAGCTGCAACCTTTCCTTTAGTCAGTCCGTAGTCCACCTCACTTAGCATTCATGTATTGTTTTCTGGGTGCTCCCGTTGGAGACCCCCTAAGTGAATGTAAGACACAGGGTGCTATAGGAAACAGAAAGCCCACCAGCAGCTGGCGAGCAGCAGTCCGGACCTCAGCAGTTCAGCAGCAGCAGCTAGGGATCCAGTGGGGGCCCTGGCTCTTGTGACGGCCAGGTGGGAGTGTGGGCTCGTGCGGGGAGCTTGGGAGGTGAATGCAGACTGAGGCCTGCACAACCTGCTGAATAATGTTTGGCCCAGCAATGAGCAGAGAAGAGGGGCAGACTCCAGGGGGTGGGTCAATGTTGGGGCGAATCTCACAGCAAGGAGATCGGGTGCCATGTAGTGTGGTGGGACAGAAATCAGTGTGGAGAGTGCTTAGAGAATTGCAAATAAACCTGCCATATGACTCAGCTGTCCTGCACGTAGGAAAATACCCAAAGAAAATGAAAACTGCATAATGAGAAGGGGATCTGTAATTCTATATTTACAGCAGCACAATCTACAATAGCAGACATGGAAATAATCCAGATGCATGTCCGAAGAGAAGTGGTTAAAGAAAACGTGGTACATCTACTCCATGGAATATTACTCAGCATTAAAAAGAATGAAATTATACCATTTGCAACTGGATATTCCCAACTACAGGCCATTATGAAATAATTCAATCCAAGAAGGACAAAAACCATATGTGTCTGTAATATAAGGAAGCCGTCCTGCAAAATGTAAGTTCTAGGACTGTTTCCATACTGATTTTGCTATGTCCTTTGTGTTTTGATGCTTTTGTTTTCATTTTCATTTCTTCCAAATAGTTTGTTTTCTCTTGTCGAATCCATGCCTGGTTCATGAGTTACATGGTGGAATCCATGCCTGGTTCATGAGTTACACGGTGGAATCCGTGCCTGGTTCATGAGTTACACGGTGGAATCCGTGCCTGGTTCATGAGTTATACGGTGGAATCCGTGCCTGGTTCATGAGTTACACGGTGGAATCCGTGCCTGGTTCATGAGTCACATGGTGGAATCATTTTACCCAAGAGGCGTTTGTGCTTTCCTTTTGTCACCCATGCTTTGGTTATTCAGTGGTGCGCTTTTCCACTCTGGTGCTATAATTTTGTTGTTGTTGTTGTTGTTACTGTTTTAACTTCATCCCTGTTGTTGACTTTGTTTTGTGGATTCTCATTTAAGGGAATGTTTAGTGTTAGAAACCAACAGAAGAATAAAGAGAGGCTGGTGCGTTGGCTCAGTTAGCTAATCCTCCACATGCCAATGCTGACATCTTAGTGGGTTCTGGTTTGTGTCATGGCTATCCATTTCAGATCCTTCTCCCTGCCTATGCCCTGGAACGTAGTGCAAGATGGCTCAGGTCCTTTGGCTGCTGCACCTATCGCAACACCTAGAAGCAGCTCCTGTCTTCAGTGGGTTCAACTTTGATCATTGTGTCGATTTGCGGACTGAACCAACACATGCAAGATCTCTCCATCTTCCCTTCTCTCTGTAAATCTGACTTTGCAATTAAAAAAAAAAGGAAACTTAACAACACACAAATATCCCACAGGAAAATATTAATAGCGAAAGAATTAGCAAAATTAACAGAAAAATAGGAGGGAAGACTTAACAAATTTTTTATTAATAATAGAAAATGACACCAAGCAAACACTAGAAAATATGAAGCTCGACAGTAAGATATTTTCAATATCCTACTAGGTATCTAGTAATGCATGTATAAAAGAGAGGCATCATATGAACAGCGGGATACTACCTAATTATGAAACAGGGGAGGTGCCTGGGGCCGTAGTCTAGAGGCTAAAATCTTCACCTTGCACGTACCAAGATCCCTTATGGGCGCTGGTTCTAATCCCAGCAGCTCCACTTCCCATCCAGCTCCCTGCTTGCGGCCTGGGAAAGCAGTGGAGGATGGCCCAAAGCCTTGGGTCCCTGCACCTGTGTGGGAGACTGGAGGAGGATCTGGGCTCTTGGCTTTGGATCTGTGCAACTCTGGCTGTTGCGACGTCTTGCAGAGTGATTTATTGGATGGAAGATCTTCCTTTCTGTCTCTCCTCCTCTCTGTATATCTGCATTTGTAATAAAAAAAATTAAATGAATCTTTTAAAAAATATTCACAAACACTGTTATTCAGAAAAATCAGCATGCATTTAGATTTACCTTAACTTACACACTTCCCAGATTTTTGACACTCTAATGTTATTATATTTATAGCCCTTGAAGCAGTACTTCAGTATCTTTTAGTTCAGTTGTCCTTGAAATGCCCTTTTCTCCTGGTGTTTATCTGAACATTTCTTCATCTCACACTCATTTTAAGGAGACTTGCGTTGGCCTTTGCGTTTCGCAGTACTTGCAAGCTGTGTCCTCATTGTGTCCGGCTGCCCGGCAGCTCAGTGAGCTGTCATCGCATTGTCTGTCACTCCTTTGAAGGCAGTGCCCTGCTGCCCCTCCCCCTCCCTCAGTGTTTTCTGTTTGCTTTCCAGCAGGTGCACAGAACCCTGCGCTGACTCTCCCTCTGCCCTCTTACGTCTCAGATCTTTTGACCTCTTTTAAAGGTTTGATATGGATATCTGAATTGTTTTCAATTTTGGAAAGTCCCTTTCCAATATAACTTTAAAAATACTTTTTATTCTTTCTTAGACTCCAATGTCTTGCTTGTCAGATATTTCCATTAAAATTTCATTTCTAATTTAAAATTAAAATTTCAGGCCCTACGAGGAAGCCTGGTGGCTAGAGTCCTCGCCTTGCATGCACTGGGACCCCATGTGGGTGAGCCGGTCACTTGGGATCTTCCTCTCCACTCTGTGTATCTATCTTTTCACTAAAAATAAATAAATCTGTAAAAAATTAAAAGTTCATTTCATGGTTTTAATCTCTTGTGAAATTCACTACATTCTTTATTTTTTACTGGAATCTGTTTATTTTTCCTGTTGATCTATTTCTTAATTAAAATCCAATCATTAGAATGTATCTAATCATTATGTAAGTATGTCTATTAAATTTATGATTTAATTACATATAGCTTTCTAGAAATACATTTAAATATTTTTTGAAGTTTGTAAAGTTGCTGTAATTATTTTTCCTGGTTGAGTTTTAAGCGTAGGAATTCTTCCTTCCCCAGCCCGTTTTCCCCTCCCCCTCCTCCCCTTCCCTTCTTCCCCCTCCCCCTTCCCCCCACTAGTGTTTTCTGCACACAGTAGAGTGTCCTGCTAGTATCAGCTACAGGTGTAAATTCTGCTGTTTCGGTGTGCCGTGACATTATAGGTATAGGCAATAATAGAAAACCTAGTAACAGATTGCCAGGGTATTTTTAACGATTTCCTGTAGAGTCTTTTCATTCAGGAGTAGAGACGCAGGGCTGTTTCGAGTAGATTTCATGTTTCTTATATGGTTCCCGTTCTCTGAAGTCGGCCTTTAATCTCACCAATACGCCCATATGGGATCCTGGCGCATTCAAGGCCAGGACTTTAGCCGATAGGCCACTGCACCGGGCCCTCACCATTCTTTCTTAAAGTAATGTGGTATCTACAAATCATGGGAGCTCCATTAATCATTATACCCCCAAAGAATGCTGAATTTAAGGTGTTTTAGTCTAGTTTACTATGTATTAAAATTGTTTCCTAAAACTAATTATTATGCCAAATTGTCCCTGCTGTAAACTAGTGAAAGTAACACAAAAAGAGTGTTGTATCTTTTATAATTTTCCATAATTATAAATTTTCACTAGCTAAGACCAGTCTTGTATATAATTAGGAAAATCAAGTTATGAGTTGTGCAAAACAATAGTCAAAATATACCAAAGGGGCCTGTCCGATGGCCGAATGGCTATATCTTTAACTTGAGAATGCTCGGATCTCCTATGGGCACTGGTTCTCGTCCCTATTGCTCTACTTCCCTTCCAGCTCCCTGCCCGTGGCCTGGGAAAGCAGCGAATACCCCATAGCCTTGGGACCTGCACCCACATGGGAGACCCGGAAGAAGCTCCTGGCTCCAGATTGGCTCAGGGTGCAGTTCCAGTTATTGCGGTCACTTAGTGAGTGACCCAGTAGGCAGAAGATCTTGCTCTCTGTCTCTCCTTCTCTCTGTATATCTGATCTTACTTTCCAGTAAAAAAAATGAGAAAGTGAAATGGAGAAAAGCTTTAAAACAGTATAAAGCATAATAAATATCCAAAGTTAAACTGAACTGAGCAATTTATTGAAATATTTCCAAACTAAGGGAGTTCTTACAAAAAAATGGGAGGATCTTCCATATACACATTCTGTGAAACAGTACCTGCCACACACACAGATGAGTCCTGTCTTCTGTGACAAAATGGATGTAACTTGAAACCATTATGCTTAGTCAATAAGATAGTCTCAAACATAGACATTTATTATGAAATATGTCAGCTAATATGAAATACAAAACATTATAGGAACAAAATGATCGTTTGAGGATATGATTATCATTTTTAGTGCATATTTGTATTTCTTTGGAACCATGGTTTTCCTATTTTTTACTTGTTTTAGATTGTGATTGGGGCTGAATTAAGCCTGTGAACATGTGAGTGTCATCTAGCTACCACACAGTATATGACCTCGTTGGCTTTTTGTGTTTCACTGTTAAGAAACCAGCTCCTCCAGCCATGAGGCTTACGTTATCTCTTGTATTATATGCTCTGATGTTTGCTTGGTTGTTAAAGAGCAGGGCTAATTTTTCAACTCAGGAAATAAATTTCTTTGCAGAGCAATTATTCTTGATAGGTTACTCAGGTTGTTTGTGTAGTAAGGCTGCGGTTCTAGAAGAGGGTACAGAAAAATAATAGTAAGTTGTGTAAGTGCTGGTGTGGTGTTCTGGAACAAGTGTGGCGGTGGAGGTTGTGTGATCTGAACACAGGGTACTCCTAGCAGGACTTTACTCTGGTTCGGATGCAGGCAGCTTTTCTCTTTACCTAAAGCAAACACAATAACCTATCTTGGCTTCAGCGTTAATATTTTGAGGAAAATATTTTGGCTCTTTTACTTTGCCTCTATGCAATAGAAAGCAAAATGATATTAAGTACTAAAATTCAATTAATGTGTCCTTAATTACAGTCATGATTATAGCAACGGTTTTCTTGAACATAATAATTGTTCATAGCCAAACATCTATAATAGCTCAGTTATTTATATTATAGTCTCCCAAACAATTAAAAAAGTCTTTCAACTTTAATAATTTCAAATAATAATGGCAAAGCAGGTTAAAAATCTGAGACTACTCCAAATTGCACTTCCCTTTGTTTTTTTCCTATTCAAAGGGTCTATATGTTTGCCAATTTTAATGTCTCTAACATTCAGATGCAAATTCAAGTCAAAGTGATTTAAAAGATAAGATTATTATTATTGTCATAGTTAACAAGAATTATTTTCCCTTCGCGGTATACAAAACATTGATATATTGTGAAATAAATGGAATGAAAGGACTATAATGGACTAAGGAATTGTCTCTCTGGAAATATCTGAATGGTTTATAATATTTAAGTTTAGCACTTCAGTTATTAAGCCCTCGTAACAATGAACACATACACAAGCTATTAAGATGAAAAAGAAAATCAAGGAAAATATCTTTAGGAACACAAAGAAATATTTACTATATATAAGTTTTCCATCATTGTGACAATTGGTGAAAAATATATATACATATATATTTTTTTCCTTTTGTCAGGGAATATTTCTGGCACTATTGAAATCTCTCCCATT